TTCGCCTCGAATCCCCCGTTTCCTTTTCTCTTGCGAAGGGACTTTTCGGGTGGAAATGTTTAACAGTGGAAAATAAACCCAGCAGGTGGCGACGAGGCAAACTGCTGTTGAAATGCAAAGATACAAAAGCAGGTTTCGGTGGGAGGGGTTCAGAATCAGCCCCCAGTAGGAGGCGTCATTCTGGAGGTAAAAGCTGAAGAAGCAGCCTCCTCAGAGCAACGATCCAGTTCTGACGCTGATTTGTTTGTGTTTAATGTCAGAGTTCTGAAGTTGTTGTGATGTTTTGTCTGAATTCCAGTCATACCACCGGCTGTGGTTGGAGCTAACGCGGCTAACGCAGGGAGCCTTCGCCTCGGCTTTTGGTGAATGACTACAGGTCCAGACGTGTCTGTCATGAGGCAGGATTCTAACATCCAGTGGGCAGTCGCTCGACTCGTGAGTTCAACCAATGACTGTTCCCTGACCAAGGTTGGAACAAACACACCTCACAGATCAGAATATTCAAAGTGTTTTCAAAACAGCCTCAGCAGAGGGCGCTCCCACAGCCTCACAAAACCCACCGTACCTTAGAGGCACTAAAAATGGGAATAAAATCTCCTTAAAGATTATTTGAAAATATATCTATAAAATAAACTTCTTTAAAGCTGAAAGTGCCTTAAGTCTTAAGTCACACTAGAACAGACACGAGCAAACTAAGGTCCGGGGTCTGGATACGGCCCGTTTGACTTTTTAATCCGGCCTGCCAAACTTGTCCAAATTATATTATTAACTTATATTATCAATATACTTCTGCCTTTTCCCTGCAATACCCAACTTTCTCCAATAGATGGCGTAGAAAAGGGTAAAATAATTTTAGCATTTTTATGTCATTTGTCTTTACAAAAACACTCGATCTATCCGCTCCTCTCCCGGCCCCCCTGTCAAATTTTAGGACCAACTGTGGCCCGCGAGTCAAATGTTTGGCCACAACTGACCCCAGTGCCACATGTTGAACACGCCTGTCGTACATGCTCTGCTGCCTCATTCATTAGCCGTCCCTGCGCTCCGCAGACGTAGCCGCTCTTCTCCATCATCTTTCGGCAGCTCCGTCTGTGGTAAACAAACCGTGGGTAGCGGGGGGATCTGAGGACAGGCCGGTTGCATCAACACAGCGCGTACATCATTCTGTCATCTTACATATTGGCGGCGTCTCTCCGGGGGCCACGGAGAAAACTGACAAGGAAACGACTTTGTTCCTTCCCGCAGTAGAGACGGCGGACATTAATGCGCCAGAAAGCCCACAGTCTGTATCTCCTCCGAACGCCTCAACATAATGACATTGTAGCAGCAGCTCTTCCAGCGTCCTGAGGCTTTTATGGGATGTGTATTGATGCTGACACATCACTAGACAAACACTCCTAACTCTGAGTTTTCCAGACAATATGAATCCAAACGGCTGGAGTCAGGAGCGCAGGGACACGTGGGCCGACCGACACTCTGTTTAATTAAAGATTCTCTTGGCTCTCTTTGAGCCATTTGATGCTGCGCTGATGGAGACATATGATCAGTTTGGACCAATACTTTAAGCCAAACTCTTCTCTTTTGGGTCTAATTTATTGATGCTCCAGGCTGTGGTGCAAGCTTTACTGTAGGCGCGTGTGCTTTGATTTAGATTTTTTTTAATTTTTTTTTAGTCCAGGCCTCAGCATGTTTCTCCCACAGTCAAAACCCCAATCATTTCTAAACTGTATCTTCTTATAAACTGTACTACCTTTGCAGTACTGTGAGGCCCAGACAGAGCTAGCTCATATGTGTCAAACTCAAGGCCTGCGGGCCAAATGCGGCCCGCCAAGGCATTTTGTGTGGCCCGCGGCAGCTTGAAAAGTCTTTAATGTTGCTGAGTTTCTTCACTTAATTTTTTTTAATTTATCATTTTATTTAATGCTTTTTTAATTACGCAGAGCAATTAACAATATCTGTAACTTGGATAAATGAAATAATCAATTGCAGAAACACGTACTAATAAGTCTCACAGTTACAACCACCCCCCCAGCCCCGCTGCCCCCTTTACCCAGTAAAATACTTTAGCTGACAGAAACAGGACCTCATGTTTCCTAATAAGAGCGGCATCATGGCGGAGAAAAAATCCCAACTCAAAACTCACAGGTACGAACTTGTTTACCGTCTCTAAAGAGGGTTCCTTAAGTCTTTGGGATTGGCGATCACCTTTTTCTTTCATCGTCATACCGATCTTATCGACCGATCTTATCGACTGTTCGTATCTACCTCCGCAAATGTCTGAAATTCAGTCACTCTCGGCTTCAGTTTGTCATCATTGTGGAATCACTCCACAGTTTAAGGAGAGCAAAGGGTCAAGTGTCGGCCGAGAGAAGTCGCAGAGGGGCCACGATCAAACCGTGCAATCCATCAAACCTCATTTGCCATTTAAAAAAACCCCACCACTTCACTGACATGACAGAATTTGAAGCTCATAATCAAGCTGAGGCTAATGCTAAAGCTAGCAGGAGCGAAAAGCCAGCCAGGGAAAATTGCAACACTGCTACTTTTTAAGGACTTTTTTTCGCACTACAAGGAAACCAAAAACTCACAGCACTTTATTGGATACTGCGGTTGTTTTGATGATTAAGATTTGATTGACTGCCTCAAACCTCAAAGCTTCTGTAAACTGGATTCAAATATTAAAGTTGTTTGCTGTCAGTTATATAATCAGGTCAGGGTTTTTTCAAAAATCTGATCCTCAGTCTGTCTCACTGTAAAGACTTTGAAGAAGCCAAAGTGTTTGGATCACCCACAGTGAAGCAGGTGTCATGCTGTGTGTGTGTGTGTGTGTGTGTGT